ATGAACTTCCCCGCCTCGGTCGTCAGCCAGTTCCCCTCGTGCACGAAGTCCGTCACCGTGCGTCTGGAAGGGACCGTCATTCGCCTCAAGCAGAAGCGGGAAGTCACCGTTAACGGCGTCGAAGTGAAGGACCTGCCCATGTGGATCAACGGCGCCTATATCAAGAAGGCGTCCAGTCTCTTCCTTATGGGTGAGGATGGAATATCTTTTTTGGTGTAGATAGATGATGGGTAGATTGATAGGTAGGCAGATTGACTGACTAATTGATACATAGGTAGATAGATAGATATAGATATGGATATAGATGTAGGTATAGACATAGATATTTGGAAACATACATGTACATTAATCCATGAATACATACATACATGTCTGTATACATACCTACCTACATACACAAACGCAGTATATTTATGCATACATACATATATACATACATGCTTACATACATACATAGTATAATTATGTATACATGCATATATACATACATACTTACACACATACATACCAGTATATTTATGCATACACACATATATACATGCATACTTACATATATACATACCGGCATATTTATGCATACACACATACATACATACAAATAAACGTATGCACACGTACACACATAAAATTTACAGAGACAAATGATGAAATCAGTGTAAAATAGGACGAATAATTTTCTCAAAGTAATGCATTTGATTCCCAACCCGGCACTTGTACCTTCTCCAGCATTACGTAATTCTAATGAGCATTCAAATGACGTAGATTATGCACTTGCTCAAGGAGGTTATTCATTCCCATTCATCCCCGCTTCCATTATACACATGAGAGCATAAATAGATATAAATGTATTTTAATAAAGAGATACGAGAGCATAAATAGATTTTAAAAAAACATGTTAATAAAGAGATACGAGCATAAATAGATTTTAAAAAAACATGTTAATAAAGAGATACGAGCATAAATAGATTTTAAAAAACATGTTAATAAAGAGACACGAGCATAAATAGATTTTTAAAAAATCTTAATAAAAAGATACGGGAGCATAAATAAATATAAATACAGTTACTAAAGATGGGCTGGCCAGGGAAGTACATTCATAAAGAAATAAAGTAAACGCAAGTAAATCCAAGTATTAGCAAACAGAAATCGACTTGAGTAACAGGGCGAGACGTTCCGTTTTCACGCTAATGGCGGGTTTCGGAAGTCAGGCTCCGTTCTAGGCATTGTTCTCTGTCGTCGTTCTCGGAGATCGCGGAGAGACACTTTCGCTGTGGACCTCAATGGCGGGGATTCAGATTTTGGTTTTCTTTCGTATTCTTTTATTCATTATTATTCTTGTTATTATTTATTATTGTTGTTGTTATTATTATTATTTATTATTATTATTACTATTATTATTGTTGTTGTTTTTTTTTTTTGTTTTTATTGTTGCTGTTATCATCATTTATTGTTGTTGTTGTTGTTATTTTTTTTATTATTAGTATCATTATTATCATTATTATTTTTTGTTGTTTCACCATAGTATGCTTTATCACAACTGTGGTTTCTCTGTCTGTTTTTCTGTGTCCATCCGCGTGCGTTGCCTCTTTCCCCTGTGAGTGCGTGAGGCGCGTCCATTGCACAAGAGGACGAGCAACAGCGACACAAGGCGTGAGGTTCTGTGGCTTTGGAGTCTCGTGGAAATGACAAAGTGAGATGACAACAGAGTAGCAAGGGCGGGCGCGAGAGCAGCTCTGCACACACGCGAAGAGACAATGAACCATAAAGAATTATATATTCACGCACAGAACGATTTTTTTTTCTTTAGGTTCTTTTCTAAAAGGTTTATTTTAGGTTCAAGTCTGCTCAATGATCATCCAAATATTCCCCCCCCAAAATAGGACTAAAGAACAAGGAATCCACGAGAAAAAAAACATCCATAACAACAGGCCTTGGGTAAGAGAAGTGTTCAAAGGGATCTAGGCCTACATCTGTTGTTTCTGCCGTGTAAAATGCCCCCACTTGTCAGCCGTCGCCGAAGGAGGCCGCGCCCCAGCAGGAGGCCCGGAGTAGACTTCCCTGAGGGCGGAGGCGCAGGCCGAGAGAAGCCCAATTCATATTTTACACGGAAACTTACGCACGCGAAACACATCGTATATGATGACGCACTTAATTGCTTACGCGCCTTCGTATGTGGAGATATAGATGTAGATAGATGGGTGGATAGATAACGGTATAGATAGATAGATAGATAGATATTGTTTGTGTACCAAACTGTGTTTATGTATGTTGGTTAAATATACATTATCAGTATCTTCCTCCTCCTCTTCTTCTTCCCATACCACCTCCTCCTCTCCCTTCTTTTTCTTCTTCTTCTTCTTCATCCTCCTTCTCTCCCCTCCCCCTCCTCCTTCCCCTTCCCCTTCCCTTCCCCTTCCCCTTTCCTTTTCCCCTCCCCTCCACCACCACCTCCTCCTAATTCCTCCTCCCTCCCCTCACCTCCTATCACCACCGCCTCCCCCTCTCCTTAACCACCACCTCCTCCTACACCTCCTATTCATCTCCCCTCCACCACCACCTCCCCCCTCCTCCACCTCTCCCCTCCACCACCACCTCCTAACCCCCCCCTCCTCCTCCGCAGTCAACTCGACAACGGCATCGACGTGTGGTGGGACGGGCAGACGGGCGTCTACGTCGACGCCCCAGCGGACTTCCGCGGCGAGGTGGCGGGGCTGTGCGGGACCTTCACCGACAACCAGAGGGACGACTTCTTGACTCCCGAGGGCGACGTCGAGAACAACCCGATCGCCTTCGCCAACAAGTGGAAGATCTCGGAGGTGCGGCGGCCGCTTGGGTCTTGTTGCCTTTGTTGTTTTTTAGGTTGTTGGGTTTAGATTTATAATTGCTGTTGTTTTTGTTATTACTATTATTATTGTTGTTGTTATTGTTATTATTATCATTATCATGATTCTTACTGTTATTGATATCAATCAAATATTCAACTTTCAATTTCATAATCTGTAAACGAATCCGCACGCACACGCGCGCGCACACACGCACACAAAACAAAAAAACACCCTGCCCATTCCCAAACACAAATCCCCCCCCCCACAATCCCCCATACCCACTCTCCCTCCCCTCTCCCCCCACCGCCTCCCCTCGATTGCATAATCTCCCCGAACCAGACTTCACCGCCGCCGCACCCAAACCCAAACCACACCATATCGTAAACTCGTTTGTTTTTAGTTAGAGTTCATTTTCTGTCATTTTTCTTGTCCCTGGTTTGTGTTCATTTCTCTGTCGCTTTTCCAGAAATGTCCAGACCAGCCCTTGGCAGAGGAAAGTCGCCCCTGTGATCGCCATGTGCAGAACAAGGCCGTCGCGGAGAAATACTGCGCCAAAATCAAGTCTGGACTCTTTGCAAGTACGTAGGCCTATATATGGACTTTTCTTTATATATATATATATATATATATATATATATATATATATATATATATATATATATAGTTTTTTTCTTCGTTGTTGTTTTGTTTATTGTTGTTATCACCACTGATGTTATTAATATTATCATTGTGTATTGTGTTGATAAATTTTTATATTATTAGCTGTAGTGGTGAATGCTCTTGTAACTTTAGATGCCTGATGTCTAATGTTTTATTTCCAGTTATATAATGACATGAATAACTTTTTATATAGTAATACAGGCAGTTTTGGCAATTCACTGAAATTTGTCAAGTCGACGTTAATTAAGATGTAGAAATTACAAATGCCTAAAAAATGACTTCATTTGTTGCCAATAAAGCAACGAAGGGAAGAACAAGAAATCCCTCGAATATTTCTTTTTCTCTCCTTTGTTGTTTTATCAACAATCTGTTCGACGTGACTGCTTCCTCAAAATCAAAACGCATTTCCCGCCACGATCCACATAACATGCCCTCACACGCTATGACACTAACCCCCATCTCCTCCTTGACCAGAGTGCCACTTGGAGGTCGACCCCGAGACATACCACCGCGACTGCCTGTATGACATGTGTTCGTGCGAGACCAAGCTCGACGGCTGCCTGTGCCCCACGCTGGCCTCCTACGCCAAGGAGTGCGCGAGCAAGGGCATCCTGATCGACTGGCGCGCCGAGATTCGCGAGTGCGGTGAGTGCGAAGGGAGGGAAGGCCGATTCGGTTTTGTTCCTGTGGATTTTTGTTCTTGATTTTTGTCGTTTCCGGTTTTGGGTTTTTATTTCATGTTGTTTTTGTTTTTTTTATATTCAAAAACCTTTTATTTGTTTAATGATTTGTTTGATCTGCTGCTTTCTATCTTCAAATGTTTCCTACGTATCCGCTGGCCTTCGCAGGCGTCCACTGCACCGGCGGCCAGAAGTACCAAGTCTGCGGCAACAGCTGTTCGCACACGTGCCTGGACCTGGCGACGAACCCGGATTGCAAGAGGAAGTGCGTCGAGGGTTGCAACTGCCCCGACGGCTTCTCCCTCGACCAAGATGGCATCTGCGTGCCCATCACAGACTGCCCCTGCGTGTTCGAGTCCAAGGAGTACAAGCCTGGCTACGAGATGCTCCAGCGACAACCCGACGGGAGCGACATGGTGTGGTGAGTAAGAGATTCCGGAAGGGAAGGGAGAGCCTAGGCCAGTAGCAACTCGAGGGGGTGTTATGGCGTTGGTTTTGGTGATTGTTCAATGAAAATATTAGAATTATACCATTAGAATGATAATTTTCCATCCTTTCTGAAAACTGAAGAGACCAAAATGATCGGCCATATTCACAAAGCATCCGTAACTTTTGTGACGTCATCAAAATAAACCCCATGTGCCTTAAAAAAAATGAATCATGACACCTCCTCGAGTTGCTACTGATCTGGCCTTTCCCAAGGAGATTCGGCGATCCTCGGATGTTTTAGATGCTCTCGCTTGTTTGTCAAATATTGTTCAGGTGTTTCGTGGGTTCTCGCTTGTATGTCGAAGAAGACTTATTTTTCCTCCTTTCAGCGAATGTTTCAACGCGG